CGGGGCCGAAGTTTTGCCCACAAATCGCCATCCTTGTGAGGCTCTCGTAAACTCTTGTTCCGTAGTGAAGGCAAGCGATCGAAACTGAAGTGTATTGCCTTATTACTTATACAAAATGAAATTGTAGAAGACAGAAGCGCAAGGTGACTGTGTTTCACCCAAGCAGAACAATCCCCTTGACGGGTAGCTTCTGAACTGTTTCATACCTTTGATTAGCTAGTTTCCCCTGAGAAACTGCTCATAGCAAGAAGGAAAATCGCATTTTTTCGACAATTCCTTACGAACTCTCCAAAACTAAACCGCTGCCAGAACACTCACGATTGCAATTTATTCGGAGTTATAATCTCAATGGGTTTATATCTTGAAAAGCAACAGGATCATTTGCCAAATGGAAATGTATGGTGAACTGGTGGTTGTTCAGCTTCGACGGAATCGTAGAAAAGGATGGCCAAGAGACTGGCGATAAGAAGACACCAAAAAACGCATTTGTTTCTGAAAAATTCTCAAAAATTAATTTAATCTCGATCAGAGCTTGGCAACAGGATCATAGATAGGCTCTGTTTAGAATAAATTTCGGTCAAGCCGAAGGGCACCTGTGAACCGAACAGAACAGATGGGTGGACTACAGGGATGTCTAGGACATTAGCACTGTCTAGGCTCTGTCATGATAGGATTTTGCCCGTTATATGAGCATGAGCCTTGCAGCCTAGAACCGTGCAGGAAACCATAAAGACGGAGAGCTAAGTGTCTGTTTTCAAGTGCCTATACCCTTTTATAGGGTAGTTAGCATTTTAAATGCCATTGAATTGGAGGCCCAAGCTTGATGCTTTTAGTGCTTATCAATTCTTAGTATGTGAGAGCCAAAAATTTTTGTATGCGAGAATTACAAAGTGATTTAAGATAGCTTTAAAGTGGCTCATTTCTATATGTCATACGGACTACGGTAGTCCTAACCACCCTGAACCAGAACAAAAGGCTGCGGAACACAAGTGAGCAAAAGTAAAGGGTAAGAGTTACGCATGTCGCCCAGCTTTTGCTTGATAGTCACTTGACGAGCCTCCGACTGAACCACTCACTGAACTTTCTGCAAAACCATTCTGGTTTTTAGCTGGGATGCGAACTGAGGTTTACATTACGGGATCCTCGCGTGTGATGGAGGTTCTTACATCCAAATTGTACCCAAATATAGCCCCTCTATTACAGTATCTGGTCACTGTTACACTGTTTTATGCTGTCGAGGGAGACCACAACCCCTGAGCTAGCCAAAACCGTGCTCAGCTTCGATGAGATTCAGATCGACCCGAATTTTTTGGCTTCTTGATGGCCTTTTCAGTAAGTCCCCATAGCATCGCAGGGGCTGTACTGCCCTTGCATCGCCAGCCTCACCACTACTCTGTATTACTTTCTTTTGAGCCTTCTAGAATCCATTAACAGGACGATACCATTTCTTTGATTGGCATCCCTTCTCATAAAGCTTCCACATGGGGTAGGTTTTACCAGGACGTCATTCGATGGTGAACTTCGGCATAGTACATAGTTCAGCGACTATCAGGAGAGATGTCATCACACTTGCTGATTGTTGAATTTTCAGCCAAGGATTAGCTATCTGCCTACTGATATGGTGAGCGTAAAGACCATATCATGGCAGTTACTTCCAAAGCGACGACTGACTCTTGTCGGTTATCATTTTTTGCCGGGAAGATTATGTTTCCTTGCCCTTTGTTCTATACTGACGATCTTTACACTGTTCCTATCGCAGAAGCCTTTGAAGCATAATAACAGAATAACAGTATAACAGTGACTAGCCGAAATAGTTAAGAAACTATATTCAATTATAATTTGGATATAAGAAGCTCTATCAAACGCAAGACGTCTTTTTTGGTGGCCGTTATCTTCGTTATGCGCCATGTTTTCGACTTCCACTTTGAATCGCAGCAAAGTTTAACTTGGTGCTTGGTCTCACAACAGACGTAGAAAGGCAAAGTGTTGCTTCATTCTATGTCTTTTTCCTCCTGCACCTACTTGGCATCTATTGATCACCCCATGGGTAATACTGGATTAGTGGTCAAAAGCATCCGGTCTAGGTCCAGTTCCATCTGACTCTCCCGTATCGACCATATAAAATTAGCTTAAATAGATTTTTAGAAACATTTCGCAATGGAAAAGGTTGTTCTGCTGACGGTTCTGATTTTGGGATGCATAGCCGGTCCTCTTGTTAAGCAGCAGTCGCCATCTCGAGGGCAAAGCTCTCAATTGGTAAGTGTCGAAAGTGTTGAAACAATAAAGCTCTGGCATTCCACCTTCTTGCATCTTGCATCTATTTCTCGCATTTGTAGAAGTTATAGACGTCCACGTTATCCTGTAGTGTACTCTACTAATGCTCTGGGTTGAAAGTAAATCCTATTTTAGTTTGGAGGCGTTCTTTTCTCAGTAAGCATTTCACGTGGCTCACTGCTTGATTGCGAAGATCGAAAGTTCTTCTTACTTGAGACTAATGAGGAAATTCGAAGCGGCCTTGAATAACTTCCTTGTCACCTTGC